ATAAATCCATTATGCATGGTCTAGGTCTAATTCAATCTAATAAATACTTTAGACCATTAAGTCCGAATTGGTCTATTTTAATGTCTTATTCTCCCATCCGATCTATCCAAAATTAATTTTGATTTGGACAGGGTCCAATCCACAACCGGTTGACACCCTTAAGCACATATGCATATGGGGTAGGTCCATTTGTTCCCAAACACGGTGGCCAGCCTAATGATATGGCTTCTTGCTTGGTTAGTTTAAGGGGCGTTTGGTTCTTTCAATTGATATCAACTTGTGACGAACCAAAAATCACCTTAGAATTCTATAGACAACTCAGCTAGCAAATTCATTCCTTGAAAATAAATAAATAAATAAACATGTCATTAGAAATTCTTTTCTCTACATTTTTGCCTTTTAAGGGAGGATATGGACATTATTTTTCTGAGTGATGATTTTCATAGTAATGTTCTCCCTCTCAATAATGACCAAATAGAAATCATGTTTAATATTTGTTTTTGGAGATTGTAGACAAGACTAAAATTGCAATCAAGGTTTAAAGTATCCATACAAGATATATAATATCGCTCTGGCAGGTCATCAAAATGCTGTTTATCCAAAATGTCAAAATTTTAAATGCTAAATAACAATATTATCCCCCCGCCCCTCCAAAAAAAAATATGAAATTTAAAAATCTCCAATTTACCCACTACATTTGATATACATGTTTGTATCTATTGGATCTATTGATACTTTGAACCTTGATTGTAATCTTTCTTTTTTCCATTCTTAAACACATGACTGATAAAACATGGTAAGATTCTCACATAAGAGCATTATCATCTCACTACTCTTTATCTTTCACATGTTAGAGTATTAAAATTGAGAGATAAGTAGACTGATCTCCACCTTAAAATTCCAAATTCCACTGCAAATTTACAACAATTCAAATTTTCAATTAATTCTACCTATAACACCAAACTGTACCTTAACTGTACGGCGGAACTAAGATTTGTTGAAGTGGACTGAACAGTAAAAAATAAAAACCCTTTAAATTTATAAGCTTGTAGTGATGGAGGGTGGGAATGGGGTTGGCATGCTGATATGGCAAAAAAAAAAAACAGATTAGCTTTTTGAGTTATCATGCATCTAAGCAATTACACGTGCAATACCAATACCCAAGACTAACTGAGAAAGGGTCATACATCATACTCATATGTAAAGAGCCCTGCCAACAGGTCCAAATCCTTTGGGTACATTACATATATGGCGTAGGAAATTTCCCCCATCTCAAGTTGTTCTCCTTTTGTTTGATTGATTTTAGACTCTAGCTATTTGTGCATAAAATGAAAAAAAAACAAATTAAATCATTTCCTTCTGATATTCTAAATAGTGGTTGCCCCTCTCGATTTATATATATGTTGCAATATATGTTCATCCAGTTTTTAAGTATTTATTAGGGTTGTTGTCTAATATCAAATAAAAAAGAGGAATTGATATGCTACTGCAGACATCTGGATCCACAGAACTTGACACTTATCCTAGGTCTAGAAGATTGGGATCTACTAATTAATGATGGCTCCCACATAAAAGAATATTACTTGTGCTTTCACCCAAACTAATGGAAAAGATTACTGTGCCAATAAATCAAAAGGGTGAATTTACTTCAACTATCCAAGTCAGGCCTTACTTTACGAGATTCTTTTTGAGATTCAAATGCGCTTTTCCCCTGCTATAGTAAAACGGTCACTATCATAATCCTGCTTCCTGCTTCTTACTCCATTATTAATCCCTTTATTAATAGAGGTGCCCTATCATATATCATATGTTAGATACAAATGTGCTTTCAAAATTCACTGTCTGTGACTCAAATGGTCGAATATATAGGTGAATCCATCGGTGACCCAAATGGCTGATCACTTCACAGGTTGCTAGGCAAATTCACTGCTTGAGCCATTCAACGCAACATTCAAGATTATGATGACCCTTTTCTTTTTTAGAATAGATAAAATGCATTTTAATTTTATGTAATAGGTAATGAATGGAAAAATTAAAAGGAATAAAATAAAAAATGAAGTCATTCGAAGAAACTTAAGAGTAACTTCAATAATAAGTAGTAAATAAATGAGACAAAGTACAAATAAAATGGGAAAGACTAAAAAAAGATAGGAATAGACCAAAAACAATATAGGTAAAAATAATCACAAATGATTAATTACTAAGTATATGATATTAAGCATAATGGATTGGTGAAATAAGATTCATGTAGTTGACCCTTTATAATTGGGGTAAAACTTGTATGATGCATGATGTCATGATGATCAAGATCATGAGTTATAAAACATTGGTAGACCTAGATCTGCCAGACAATTAGAACTAAATGGGTTACGGGTATATGGAAAATGACAATGCTAGCCCGGTTGAAAAAGGTCTATCAACCGATAAATCTTGATATTCTATTACCAAAAAAAAGAATCAGTACACATATATATTGGAATATTTATTGGAGCACTACTAGTCTATTAACCAAGTTGAGAACTGGACCGGTTCTAAACCTATGGAGCCGATTAGTCCAAAGTTTATAGCAGCCTAGCAGGAATGGCAATGGAATGGGTTCGAGGAGTGCTTTGTAAATTATAGATCCTCTTCATCTCACCAATCTGTACCCTCTCAAAATCTCACAATAAATTGGACTTCTAGAATCTAAATCTTTTCCACACATGAAAATGCAAAACCCTCCTTGCATTTGAGGGTAGAGCGGGATAGATTGATAGACCATGCCTAGAATTCATATCTAATTTCCCATTTCATATAAGCAATAAACAAATAAACTAACGTGAACAAATATCAAAATTTTCAATTATTTAATTAAAATATGTAAAAGGAATAAATTATAAATTATCTTTCACATAAAGTTCAAGACATTATTAAGTATAACACAATAAATAATTTAAATTGTCCGATATATGTATCAAGGGTTGGGGTAGGTTGGATTTAGCCTAATATCAATTTCAACCCGCACCAACATGGATCATAAAATCCCGAAACCCAACCTTCATTAAAGAAAAAGAAAAAGAAACTCATAGACCTAGACCCTGGTAATCAGTTAGGTATCGAGATAATTAGGTGATATTGCTATCCATCGGCAAAGTCAAAATTATTTATGTACATCTTGCGGTGTATCCAAAATTAGCTTCTTTTGTAGGCATATGGCTATGTTTAGTTTGAAGGAAAAAGTAGGAAAAAGTAAAGAAATCTTTATAAATCTTGTATAGATTTTTCTATTTTTCCTTTCTTTTCTAACCTCTTCCTTCAAACCAAACATAACCAACCTTAAAATAAAATGTTGAAAATCTTGAAGACTGAGATGGCACTGTATGTATGGATACAAGTAGAACGAGTATATAAACCAAAGACTTCTCATCAAATGGATGGTTTGGTAAGCTCGTGTACACAAGTAAGCCTGGTTGACCCATTAAGCTACTTCTTCCTTGTAATAAAAGTGAAAATGAATTAATGATACAAGGAACGATATGTTCCACTTCCAGTTCCAGGGCATTTTTGTCAAAGATGGTTGTTTAATGGTTTAAAGCGAATCTAAAGCTTGACAAAGCGTTCTTGGGGTTAGGACTTGTCCGAAAGTCTTATTGCATCGCCTTCTAACATTTGCTTACGTCAGGAACGGGGTTTTCTAGATGGGTCAATAATCAGGACAGTTTACGAAATGTCTTTTGGACAGCCACGTGGAGAGTTGACGTGGTCATACCAAATAAAGAAATTTCATCGCATAGGCGAAGGCTTCAAGGTTGGCCCTTGGATAAGGTAACCGTGTGTTTATTATCAGCCTCGTCTGTGGGTCTTTGCCACTTCATACCAACAACCAAACCAGCATCAAACGGGCTCTTGAGGAACCTTTTTTTCTAATTTGCCACGTGGTAGAGGGATGGCTAAGATACACGTAAAGAATTCCCACTCGTCGCTCCGGCAAAACCATACACATATCCATCTTTGTTCAGAGACTTCAGAATTCCCATCAGTTAAGTCTATTATGACTTGCTTAAAACTAGGGCACCCTAAAGAAACGAAGAGTGAGCACATCTTCGTCTAGGAAAGGGAAAAGAAAGTAAGCATGGAAAATCAACGCAAATCAATTAATGCTGAACTGCAGCATGAGTGCCAAAAAAAAAAAGAGGCATCTTTGTCATGAGAAGAATTCGAGGGGTTTCCTGTCATTTTCTTGAAGTTATTACTGGTATATATCCACTGAAACTTAGGGTTGATTAATAAGTATTTTGATAAGTATATATTTAATTTCCCTACTCTGAACTCCGAAGAAACAAACACCCAATCAAAAGCTTGGGGTTACTGCATTATTTCTCTCTTTCCATATCTTGATACCCACTTTATTTTGTTATTTTCGTTTTTAAAATGAAAAGAGAGCACGAGTCCAATATGCATCCATGAAAGCCGAGAAGTGTGTTACAACTTAAAGCATGGCCATCTAAAGAATAAATGAAATTGGATTCCACATGGCTCAGAAACTGTCATGAATTCTTCTCTTCAGAGATCCTGCATAAGAAAGTGAAGACTAGAGAGCAGCTGAATGCATAGAAGAAATTCAAATGCCCCCGCCCCCACTCCATTGCTGTCGATTCCATTATTCTTTGAATGTTTTTTCTTCCTTTTTTTTAGAAGGATGGGGCCTGGAGTTGGAGTAGTACACAAGCAACCCCACTACTACATTCATGGGTGCCAGGTGTACCTTCACATATATGCCACGTGGGCATTTGAGTTCCTTACAAGAGATGCATAAATTGCTGTTGCAATAATAGCATGCAGAGAGAAATAATGAGGGGGGGGGGGGTAATCCATGGAATGTCCAAGGCTCTGATGTGGTAAATTTTGCCGTTAAAAGAGGCTATCGAATCAAGGTAGTCAAAACCCACTACAGTTAAAAATAAATAAATTGCAAAAGCTATATATAATAGAGAAGGAACCGGCGGAAGAGAGAGAGAAAGAGAGTTTTAAACAGAGGTAAATTTTGAAAGGGGTGGGTATCTTGGGATTTCAGTTTGTAAATTTTCCCTTCTTTTTGTCTTTTAAACAAGCAGGAGCTCATTCCTTGCCAAAAACAGTGAAAACCCATGAAAGTCTAGGCCTTTTCAGGTCACCTTCTTCAATCAAAGAGGCCCTTTTTCCCTTGTTGTCATGGATCCCAAGGGCTCCAAGCAGCCTCAAGAGGTGCCCAAGTTCTTGAGTCTCCCACAACCAGATATGGGAGATAACAAGCCTGCAGAAATCAAGGATTTCCAGATTGTGATTGCAGAGAAAGACGAGGGGAAGAAGCAGTTAGCGCCTAAGAGGAGCTCCAACAAAGATAGGCACACAAAGGTGGATGGGAGGGGGAGAAGAATAAGGATGCCTGCTCTCTGTGCTGCTAGGATTTTCCAGTTGACAAGAGAATTGGGGCACAAATCTGATGGGGAGACTATACAGTGGCTTTTACAGCAAGCTGAGCCATCGATTATCGCTGCCACGGGCACCGGAACCATCCCAGCCTCTGCGCTTGCTGCTGCAGGGGGCTCTGTCTCACAACAGGGAAGCTCTGTTTCGGCCGGCTTGCATTCGAAGATCGACGAGTTGGGACCCGGTGTCGGGTCCGGCAGTAGGACCAATTGGAGTGTGATGGGGAGTAATTTGGGCAGATCCCATGTGGCCACAGGCCTATGGCCCTCTGTCGGTGGTTTTGGGCCGGGGTTTGTTCCTGCTTCAGCTCCTTCAACATCGAATTTGGGCACCGAAAGTTCAAATTACTTGACTAGAATTGGGTTCCACGGTTTTGAATTGCCAGGCTCCAATCTAGGTCCAGTTGCTTTTAGCTCAATTATGGGTGGGAACAACCAGCATCTTCCGGGTTTAGAGCTTGGGCTTTCGCAAGATGGTCATATTGGGGTTTTGAATCCGCAGGCTTTGAACCAGTTTTACCAGCAGATGGGACAGGCTCGAAGCGGTGGCCCTATGCATCAACAACAGTCACAGCAGCAGCAACAGCAGCAACAACAACAGCAACAGCAACAACCGCCTGCCAAAGATGATTCTCAAGGGTCAGGACACTAGGGAAGTTGGAGAGTTGGAAGAGTTTCGAGGTTTTGAGGAAGTGGGAGAAATAGCACATCCGAGAAGCTGAGTCTTTTCTCTACTGGTTTCTTTTCTGTATATTTGCAAAAGCCGGGGGAAGAGTGATTTTTGAATTCAGTCTTTTTATGGAATTGGGTCATAGGGACTGGATTTTGAGTATTGGGTATTGTGTCTGCCCTTCTTTCTCTCCAAAGCTTCATCCATTTCTCCAAATACAGGTCTCTCTCTCTCCCTCTCTCCCTCTCTCTCTCTGAGCTGAGCTGATAGTTATAATGGTGTCACTTCTGGTTCAGGATGTGCAGATGGAACTATGCAGAACTGAATAGCTTGGGATTGAACTTAATTTCTTGGTTATTTCAAGGTGTGTTGATAATGTGTAAGCGATCTTTGATTATTTGTTTTTGTTAGGCCTAGAAAGAGTGGTAATCAGCTTGTTTGTGAAAATAAACTGAGTTTTATAATCATACTTTATTCGATTTTCTGTTGGAGCTGGCAAGGTACTTGATTTCCTTAGATTTTTTTTTTTTTTTTTTTTTTTTTTGTTGTTGTTGTTGAACGGAAGGGGCAGATTACTCATGAAATATTGCTGCTGATGCACACTATTTGGCATTCGATCTGCATGTCTGTATATAGCTCATTCTCTAGTTCTCACGCACAACGTTGTCTTGAATCATATTTGTGATTTTATATGTTCTCTAGACTCATATGACCTATGACTACAAAATGTGGATCAATTTCTCATCAAAAGGTAAATTTCTTTCCCAATTTAGATGATTAGAGGTGTCATATAACAGATATTTCGGTTCCATAATTCAGGGATTTTACATCACTTTGTAGATATCTTTTAGTGTTTTTATGTTTTTCCTTGTCAGGGTAAGAAATTTTTGTCTAATAAAAAAGTAAAATAAAATAATAAAACTTGCGGAGGCTTACTTCCTGATATTGTTTGTACTTCAGTAGGAAACCTTAGTTCTATATCATTTGATTCACACATATACTAAAGTTACCACTCTGTTGAATTGAGTAGCATTACTTTCTTCTCCCCTTGATGAGTTTTTTTTCCCCTCAGTTACTCACAAAGCTGAGGCTGAGCTTTCACCCCCCAGAGTATCCTTTGGTCTGAGAAATTTCAGAAATATTTAAGCAATACTTTTCATTACTATTAAAGTTTATATAATTCAATATTTCATTGTAAGAAAGATCTGAACTTCTCTATGTGTGTTTTCATAGTAGGATTCCTTAGATAACTTATTAACCCCAAGGATCAATCATCTTGTGACTGCACTTAAACAAATTTACAGTGTGTCTTCCTGAAGCAAGTACTAAATATCACTGCATTTGAAGTACTCAGTCTGACAGTAGAGTCAATTATGCTCCCAAAAAGGTAGAAAATAAACAGAAAAAGCCTACTCTCTGGACTGACAAGACCGATTTTATAGGGCCCACTGTTTGGTGAAATGGTAAGATCTTGGATTGACAAGCATAAAGACATGGGGTCAAATGACTCAAATCTAAGAGCAGTCATCGTGTATAAAATATGCCAAAGGTTATGTTTTTATCAAATCCACCCCTCCCAAGACCTTGGATGGTCAGGATCAACATTGGGTAATGACCTTATAAGGTTCCCTTTCAGGTTAAGTAGGGAGCTTCCCTATATAACCACCCTATTTTTAGCAACGTGGAGTAATTTTTGGACAATCCAGACTGTTCATCAGATAGGAAACCCTTTGGATTGATCATGTGCTATCCTTCTGTCTACGTCATCCCTGTTCCCATTTTAGATTAGAATTTTGTTAATAGCCTTCTATAGAACACGGCAATGTTTTTTTAAGCTGAATCTTTTTCATGAACCTATGATGGAGAAAGGAATAGGAGGACTCCTTTAGAGCTCCAAACTACTTTGCCGTTTTGAAGATTCCTGGGTTGTATAGGGAAGCCCATTAAACAACAATACTAGTAAACTTACACCCACCTACAAAGATACATGCATAACACATTACTTGATCCAGGACCCTCATAGAAACCATTTTTCTGCATATCAAAATATTTAGTGTGGTAGAGCAATGGAAAGTAGGCAACTTATTAAAGTGTGAATATACCTGGCTTTTATGAATTAGGTTAGTTGCCCAGCTTTGTCATCTCAGTGGTTCAATGGGAAAAATGCTACTGTCATACAGTCAGTGATCTTTGCTGTGATGAGTACACACCATTTAGAAAAGAGGAAGTGTGGTCTATCTCCATAATTCCCTGGAGTTGTGAATATATTGAATTTGTTTCTTGTAAACATCAGTGGCCCAATTACAGCACAAACATCTTGCAAATAACAAGAAGGGTACATGAAAGGAAAACAATAAAAGAGAGAAACTCATCCATATTTGGTGCTAGAAAACTCAGTTGTGTTCCAGTGAGATATTAAAAAAATGTTCGTGCTTGTGTGCCACGATATCCCCACAAATTGGAGAACCTATGGGCACTGTTTCACAAAAACCCTTCAACCTTTGAGCATTTGTTTGAAATCCTGGATGGCAATCCATATTAGATAATTAAGGACAATTGGAAGATACATGGTGGTTGAATTTGGAAGAATACCTATATAGGTCCTGAGGTGAGCAATCATCCCACTAGATCATAAAAAATCGAGGAAGTCTTCTAGCAATCTCCGCCCATATCCTTCAACCCCTCCCTGCCCATACCCATCTCCAAATAAATAAGTAAAAGAAGGATTTCTGAGGCTCGGGCATCTTAGAATTAATGTTTCTTGATCAGAAAATTGAGAAAGAAAGATCATTAAGTGTAACAGAGTTGGAGGAGGAAGTAAAAGAAAACTTTTGAAAGACAACTGAAATGTTGAGACATAAAAGAGCTTGAGGGGATGAGGATAAAATAATGCAATCTAAAAAGGCCATTACCCAATGCTGGTTCTATCTATCCAGGGTCCTGGGAAGGGTGGACTGGATACTGACCTAACCTCCAGCATATTTTGCATTAAATGGCATTTCAGACTTCAACATGCATTCTCATCCAGATTTTACCATCAGACCAAGGCCTTCTTGAATATGGAATAGCATATGTATCAATGTTGAAAAGGTGATGCAGTTTTCAAGTGATCACCACAAAGGCTGCTTTCCACAGAAAAAATATTGGTACACTAAATTAACTGACTTGAATCAATTTTAAGCGAGATCTATACAGTTAACACCTTGCAGCTGGATGAGGACTCTGTATATAGAAGGGCCAAAAGAAATCACAGGAGAATGAGAGGCCTACTGGCCTAGAAGATATGGACATAATGTTTGTCTAGAGGTACTAGAAACATCAGAACCCTTTATCTTCCTGTGAATTAATGATTGATTCTATCCACTCATTATAGATTACTTCCCTAGAAGAACTTGATTGATAGCGATGGAGTCCCTCTTTTCCTTCTTATTGTTTCTATTGCAAGCTCTAGTTGGCTCTAATTTGACATTTTCACATTCCCAATTTCAATTAAATCATATTAGTTGGATGGTAATACTATATTGTGCTGGATGACACAAGCATCAATAACAGTTATGATGAAAAGCCTGATGCTTGAAATAATCTGCCATATTTTAGATTATGTAAATATGTACCATAGTTCAAATGTACATCCATGGAGGCAAGCTACTGCTTCTTTAAGTCCTACATTAGAAGTTGAAATTCATTTAGTCAACAGTGGGTTGGGCTCATCATGCCTGGTTAAAGAAATCTATTTGAGTTTTCAACAAAGTTATAGGAGTAAGGCTCAAGTACTGAAAGAAGTTACCAAACAATATTTTGAAACTCCTATTATCCTAGGTTAATGCATTGAGATATTATGTGAATGATTAGGTCCAAAATTTACTATGAACCTTTTTAAGTATCCAATTCAAAGCACATAAGTCGTTGCAGCGAATGCACTGATATGATAAATATTTGAACATCAAACTTATGGTGTAAACCTTGTTCGGTGACTTTATCAAACAGTCTTGATGCCCGTCTGGGAAAGAAGAATTGTTCTGAGTTTTGCTAGGCATGAACTTAGAATTGAAGTAGAGTGAGGTGCTCATATTGGCCGCTTCTCAAGCTGCAACCAAATCAGCCGGTTTGCGTCCAACGATCTGTGTTTGTTTTGTAATACAAATTACTCCAATGAGTTGTTAATTCTTTTAGGCCGTGTTTGGTTTTTGTTACTTACTACTTAATACAAAGGAGATTAATGATCAAATGAATTTATTGGATAATGACATCCAACGAGAAAACAAGTCATGTTCCCTACTTTTTTAGGGAATTTTACTTAACTTGGAAAACAGACCTGAATATGAGTGTTGTAGAAAAGTAATTTTTAGGAAATTGTTTATTTTTCCTTCGTTTAATGTGCAATCAAATGGAGGCTTGAGAACTACAGAAAAAGCAATGAAGAATCACATGATAAAACGACTGTTTTGCATGGGCAGTTAACGCTGGTTCCCAGCAGCTATCTGGGGTCTTGAGAAAAACGCAGAGTGGACACGGACCTGGGCGCATTAGAAAAATTCAGAAACGGCAGCAAATAGCAAAGAATGATCTGGTTCTATACGCTATCGCTCTCCGATCTTTTGTATCTCCAGAAGAAAAATTAAACAGTTCTCATTCTTTTCTGACTTATTTTGTGCACCATTTCTATCTGCTGCTGTATATGCTCCTACTTTCGGCAAGTCGTTGTCCTGCTTTTTCCTTCCCTTGGCTTTGGGTTTATGTTGATGGGAATGAAAGATTCTTACGGGGGTTACCTTATCATTGACTTCTCTTTATCTCGCTCGCTCGCTCCATTCTTCCCTCATATTCATTCCATCTTTAGACCGATAATGACACAAGGGAAATCCAACCAAAGCAACAAGTCAAAAGTTACCGTGAAATGGTGGTTTCATGCTGTTAACATACATGCTATCACTGCGTTTAAAGCTTGGCAGTTGGCACCCAACTCAAGAATCATGATGGTCCATATAAGGGAAAAAAAATTTAAATTCTATCACCAATTTTGGGAGATCAGAGTTCGTGGCCAAAGGAGAGGTTTCACCAGTAAAAGAAATGAAGAGAGAGAGAGAGAGAGAGTAAAAGCCAACAAGAATGCACATCCCCTGCAGGATAACAAGTAATTGGTCAAAGCTAATAGTACTATGTCACTAATCTTTAATCCTTGAAATGACCAGAAGGCTAGGGGTACAACTTGGGCCGGGTTAAGACTTAAGAGATTTTAAGAGGATGGGAAAAAGGCCGGGTTAGGCCACCTAACCCAAACTTTGGGTTGGGTTAGGGTTGAGGGATTTAATTTTTAGGTTGGATTAGGATTTGGATTGACTAGGTCAGGTTGGGTTAGGGACTTAGGATTAGAATTGAGGGTTCAAAACCAGGGATTGGACTAGGGTTGACCTCAACCCAACCTAACCGGGTCTGACATACACCCCTACAGAAGGCCTCTGGACTGCATCTGTGTTGGTATTTTCATTGTATGTTTTATTGGGGAAGCAAAGCTTGCTTTACACAAATGGAATGGGATCATCTTATATGGGGCCTATAGCCCCTAAAGTTTTTTATAAAGCCTATCACTGTTTTTCCTTATTTCATTCTTTCAG